GCCGGCGGCAGCCCTCGTTGGTGCTCCAGGGCCGACGAGGGAGTGGCTCCCACTCCCTTGGTTTTAGCAGCAGAGGCATGACCTGGGGGAGTTTCTGTTTGCTTGGTGACACCCTCGTGCGTGTCAGAGTCCCCGTCCCGTCACATCACGGCAAGCGGCCTCGCCTCACCCTGAAGCTGTGCCGCAGGGCCCTGGCTGCAACCACCTCATGTTTCCCCGTGACTTCTCTGGGCTCAGGTTGGGTGAATCCTCATTGCCTGTCTGCTGTGACGAGTGGAGCTGGCACCTGGAAGTCAGACCCTGGGAGAAATTCCTTAAATACATTGTTAATCACCGAGAAGCCCTTTCAGGAGCCTTGTAACACATGCAGTCAAGTTTGCAGAGCTCTCCTGGGCTGCGCAAACCTTCCCGCTGCTCCAAGGCCCGGCATTTGACAGCTGGAGGCGTCCCTGCCAGTCCTCTGCCGCCAGCTCTCACCCTCGCATCGAGGAGCTTCCCTGCAGCCTCTGCCCCGGCTGCTCATGTCGGTCTAACCTGGCCCTGGTGTGAGTGTGTGCCGGGCTATGTGTGCGCTGGGCAGCGTTGGTGAAGGGTTTGTGTCTCACTGGTGCTCGGTGCGTTGGTCATAGCCCTCGTGATGCCTCCCCGTCCCACCACCCCGTGAGCCCCTTCCTCTGTGCCTGGAAGGCGCTGCACCTTCTAGGAAAAGGGCTGCGGCCGCCCTTGCGTGGCGTGGATGTTTCCTGTCCCCTGCGCAGCGGTGTGGGAGTGGCTTTGAAGCTCGATGGTTTTGTCCATGCTTGGTCGTGCCCCGCCCCTCCCCCCGGCCCCGCTCCAGCCTGAGGCAGTTCCCCTTAACGTGCTGCTCCCCAGGTTTCACGAGTTCTGCATCCGTGGCTGGTGCATTGTCGGGAAGAAGCAGACGTGTCCCTACTGCAAAGAGAAGGTGGATCTCAAGAGGATGTTCAGTAACCCGTATCCTTTCTCTCCGTGGGACCCAGCGCCTTGCAAAGGGGAGCTGTGGG